CGGGAGAGCAGCAAGCCGCGGGCCGTGCTCAAGCCGCGGCGCGTGTGCGTGGGCGGCAAGCGGCGGCGGGACGACATCAGCGTGGACAGCCTGGACTTCAGCAAGAAGATCCTGCACACGGCCTGGCACCCCGCCGAGAACATCATCGCCATCGCGGCCACCAACAACCTGTACATCTTCCAGGACAAGGTGAACTCCGAGATGCACTAGCCAGGAACTGGCCAGTGGACGGACGGCCGTGAAGATCGGCCTTGACGTTCAGGGTCCTCTCGTTCCCGTCTGTACTTGGCCTGCGCGCGGGCCTTGACCACACGCTAGGGTTTTTTACATCTCTGGGTGGATTTTTCTCCCCGGGGATTCCTTTCTGAGGAAGCGGGAGCCGATGGGAGCTGCTTCTCTCGTGGCCGACCCGCCCCCGGTCAGGGCTCTGGGGACAGATCGTGAAGCTCAGAGAAGCCGGCCAGGGTTCCCGGTTACAAACGGGGCAGTTTCTCCTGCTGTCTCACAGCCGAGGGCCTCGCCCTCACGTTTCGGACTGTGAATTCGTGCTGAGAGTTCGCGGATACAAGCGCCTCCTCTCGGTCCTTTCTGGACCCCGGTCCGTCTCGGCGTCCTGAGAGGGAGGGGCGGGCTGAGGTATTCCCGTGTGCGTGCGCGTGTGCGTGTCTGTCGTCCTCACCACTCACCCACCCTGCGCTGTGTGCTTGCCATGTCCCGGCCCTCGGTCCTTCAGCGCATTGATTTACTCCCCACCTCAGCTCTGCAGGGCTCCCTGTCATCCTCCAGCCGTCCCTGGGCACCCATGGGAGCTCAGTCTGGGTCTGCCCAGGAACTTTTGGAATCTTCATTGTGACCCTGTGAGGTGGGAGGTGTCCATTTCCTCCACAAACACCCACTACTGCCCTCTGCGCGCCAGGTGCTGTGCCAGGCTCCGGGCATTAAAAGGTGAATCATTCACCATCCCTGTTGAACAGCTGCGGGACGGAGGCCCCGGAATGACCACGATTTGCCCAGGTGTGCGCCAACCGAGCTGGGGAGTCAGGGACCCCGTCCAGGCCTTCACACATGAGCTGGTGGCTCATGTTAAAGCCACAGTCTAGCCCAGAAGGTTCTGGAGACTTCCGTTCATCTGTGAAGCACGACAGAGCAGGTGGGACGATGACGGAGGTCCTGGGAGAACCAAGGTGCAGCGAGAAGGTCGGAGAAGACACTGGTGGCTCCTCGCTCTGTCTGGGGACTTCGAGAGCTTGGCCCTCCACCCACACCGACCCCGGCCTCTTTCTCAGGTGCACTAGACTGCCTCCGAAAGAGTCTCGCATGTCACCACCACGTTAGGGGACCTTCCCTTGACTGACTGCACAGTCTCGGGACACTTAATAGTTCCCGCGGCTCTGTCGAGACCAGCTCCGCCCACCCCGCCCACCCCACCACGAACCGTCATGGCCTAGGACGGCAGCGGGACCCGTGCCTGCGCGTCTGGATTCAGAAGGCAGCCTGCAGACGCCCTCGCCACATCCAACCTTTTTCACAAGATGTAACCTAACCCAGGAGATAAAACCACCCAAGATTTTTTTGTCAATGGGTAACGGTATACTTTCGTGTGTGTCAAAGCACAAAACGCATGAGCACTCACTTCCGGCCATACGATATTTACACAAGGAAATGGGTCCATTGATTTTTTTTTTTTTTTTATAATCAAAGTGAATGAAGAATGTTTGTTTATATATCACTGTAAAATCCAGGCGACCTGGACAGTATTATATGTACATATCTATTCTAATTAAAATTAACAATCACGAGATTGGATTCCTTTTTTTTTCCCCTTTGTAAAGAGGTTCAAGAATGTGGTAAACTGTATAGAAATCTTGTTGAAGCCAAAATCCAGCTCTGAGGGCCTTACACACTTACTTGGATATTTGGCACAGTCCATTTCTCCTTGCGATTCAGACGCTGAGAGGAAACTGGCATTTGCAGCTCGAGGTGACTGTCAGATAATAGATTCGACATTGACCATCCATGAAATGCAGATCGCACGCTGCATTCAGCAGCAGGTCTTCACACGGTTCCTGCTTCCTTCCGTTTCGAACTCTGGATATGAAACCAGAAAAGAGACCAAGAGGAAGACCAAACGCTCTCTCCGGAAGAAAAGCCCGTCTTCGGATCCCTGGAAAGCGACGACGTCCAGAGCGAACTGTGAATAATAAGACGTTGTTTTGAGAAAAGGTGTTGAGGGGGGAGGGGGGAGACTGGAGATGGCAGAAGGGCCGCGGGACCGGTCAGAGACGGCGCTTCCGGCCACCGTTTCGGTCCTCTGCTCTTCGCGAGTGTGCGGGCGCTCACAGCGCCCCTGTGAGCTCGTTGGGTTGTTTCTCTTCTGATTGTCTCTGGGGACTGGGCTCTCGGTGGCAGTGTCCCACGCGTGACGGTAGAGTAGGCAGACCTGGTCATTTTGGACTCTGTAACTCATAGGTGCATTCTTGTTTTGTGTCTCACGAATTATCCAACTGTTGAATACAATTATAAATATGTGAATACCAGCTTTTTCCAATAAAATAAATGTTACATTGAAAATGTAGCCCAGAATGGTGTGGGGTTTTGTTTTTGTTTTTGTTTTTTGTATTTATTTAATATATTCATCAACCAGAGACCTAATTTAAAAACAAATAAATATGACACCACAGCTGAAGATACAGAGTCTTGTACTGTTGCAGGAAGTGACTCCCGACGGAGGAAGTTAGACTTTTAGACGACTTTGCTAGAGGAAGGGGAATTTAATGCCGGTGGGCAGCGTGGGGCATGATGGCACCAAAGCACGAGCTCCCCTTGGTTACATTCTTACAGCTTATATAACTTTGCAGTGTCCATGCAAGGGGCACGTGATTCCTTTGAGGTGTCACGTGTGCCTCATGACTCAGGATGGGAGCTTCGGGTGGGGGGCTGCGAGGGGGAGGAATTTCTAGACCACTGGTCTTATCTACTTACAGGTCGTTTGTCTTGCGACCTTGGCGTCACCAGCACTATGATAGGATTCTGGAACAGAGAGACGGGACTCTGAGGCTACGGGCCGGAAGCAGCACTAATTAACGCCAGCGCCTGCTCAGCGTTGTTTTAAGCTGCTAGGTTTGTGGTGCTTTGTCACGGTGGCCCAAGGACGTGAACATACTTGGGTGCCTTCCTTCCGATCTCACAGCCCCCTCTTCCAGCAGATTCCCACGGCTCTACCGCTGAGGACACTCAGAGATGTCTAAGTCCCTGCCGGAGGTGGCAGAGGTGTGATCGGGCTCCGCGTTGGCCTTCCTGAGAGTGGCAGGGTGGGACTCTGCTGGGGAGCTCCTGGCAATCCTCAGGGGCACAGAGGGATAGGCCGGTGGCTCCTGGAGGCTGGGGGCGTGAGGGAAGCTGGGCAGGTGGTCTGGCTCCAGCCATTCAGCATGTGGAGGGGCCCTCGGCTCCATGCCAGGCCCTGGGCTCAGAGCTGTGGACAGGCCATAGACAGGGGCATTGGAGAGGGCCGTGTGAAATACTGCCCAAGCTCCGCTCCCCTTCCTGGAAGTCTCCCAAATACAGACGATCGTCTGCTCAGATGAAACGTAATTGTTATCCCATCTGTCCCCAGCCCTGGGAGCTCTGAGGCCCTTGACACCCACTGGGCTACATCCACGTGCCCTGGCCTGGCATGCGGGCCCCTTGGTGCTGAGGACTCAGCGGACAGCTGTGAGCCATGCACTGACTACACCAGCACCGTGCTGAGACCTCTGTACACATCATCTCATCCGTCCACACAGCCACGCTGAAGAGGTTGCGGTGACGTCCCCCATTCTGCAAACAGGAAAATTGAGGCACAAAGAGGGGGTGACTTGCCTGAGGCCACGAACTTGTGAGTGCCGGAGCCGGGACTGGACCCCCAGGCAGCACGTCCCCACATTGGGTCCTGGACTCTCAGCCACCTGAACCACTTCAGGTCCCTGCAGGGGATGCCTCCGCCTAGAAAACAGTCCACTCCCTCCCTGACCCCATCGCCCCTTCCCAGACTCCTGGCCTACAGCCTAGGGCATCGGGCTGGGTCAAGGTCTGCAGAAGTTCATCCACCTGGTGAAAACTTCAAGGAAGGCTTACAGGCTTCAGAGGATGTTTCCTAGCAACCGAGAAGCTTTTAGAGCTCAAAATAATTGCCCAAGTCCTGAGTGATTCATTTCAAACAGCCACGGCCTCCTTCAAAAAAAAAAAAACAAAGCCCCATTATCTCAACCTGGATCCTGTTAGAATGGGGCCCACACAGTCAGATGACATGGTGACTTTCAGAGAGGGACTGAACATGTGCAAAAGGCAGCAACATTAGCAGGACAAAAGTGGAGACAAAAACGGAAAAGAATCCGTGATTAAAATTATGCCCGAAGTGTCCTAACCTGCAAGACAGATACAGATGTTTGCAGAAGCGAATTATTCCCTCGACGCATTGGCGAAGCCCGGGAGAGGTGTGGATGACAGTATCATTCACAAATGCGCCAGAGGAGACCCAGCCTCGCCTTGCCAGGATCACCACTGATCTTTGCAGATCTGCTCGATCTTTCATTTATTGAAATGAATGTCCAACAAATGTCCTCTGAGCACCAAGTACGGGGGCCGCACTGGGGCCGAGCGGCTCCGAGCACGGACACCGTAGCCCAGTGGCCGGGACTCAGGTCCTGGCTTTAATGGCAGCTGTGGATCTTGGGGACGTTGCCCGCGCTTGGCGCACCTGTGTCTTCTCATCGATGAAGTGGAGAACGGTAGTTCCTACCGCGTGGGGTCGTGGGGTTCGACCA